GAAGAGGAAGAGGAAGAGGAAGAGGAAGAGGAAGAGGAAGAGGAAGAGGAAGAGGAAGAGGAGAATGAATGGGGGGCCACCTTGACAATGGAGATGATGGAGACGAAGTACAAGGAGAACGCAATGGATATATTGCGCAGATGACGACGTCTCACTTTGACGGCAAACTTTTTGGTTCCTTGAAAGGAGCAATCTAAAGGGTCAATTTGGTGTTTCGCTGTCATTCAAACCTTTCCTTTTGGTGAGCTGTCAGGTTCCTTGAGAGGAGACAAAGGACATCGCACCTAGGCTTTGCCAATAGTTTAGGCGCTGAAGCTGCAGGCTTCCGGCGCTGGAGGCAGCTGCCACCTGCAGTTCCACTGGCAGCTTCTGCAGTTCCATCTCCACGTCCATTTCCAATCTTTCCACACGTCTGCGGACTGGTTGCAAGTTTTTGCTTCCTTCGCGTGGCCATCTCAGTCTGATGGACCAGCAGTTCCATTTGGAGCCTATGAAGGATTTGCAGGTCCTTTGAAGGACCAGGCTTCTGCCCATGACCCACCATTTAGGTTATTGTGTGGCTCCTGTCGACGACTAGGGCGGGCGACCCAAGTTGTTCGCCCCTGCCAGCAGGGTGCCGCGAAACACAGAGATCTCACAAGCGCCTCTTCAAACTTTACGAGCTGCTGCAAAGAAAGCAAGCCTAGGCTCTGAACTGGCGGCTGGGCTGGCTGCTTTGCTTGTTGAGCCTTCAACACTTTGTGGTTGGAAAGGTTTTGTTGCTTTTCCTGGTGCTGGCACTGGGGCTCTTGACATATCATCCTCGTGGCCCATTCTCATGGCCTCACAGTCTCTGGCTCTGGAGTGATGGACTTCCACCAGGTCCTCCATGGTCATAAATATTGGCCAAATCCTTTTTAATGGTTGCCATGGCCGTGGCAAGGAATGGAAGCTTGTATAGTGGTGAAACTGGTTGGTATCAATGAGTATGAACATTTTGTATATAGTTGTAATCGCTGTGGCAAGGTTGTATTTCAGTAAAACTTGCCGAAGTAAATGTATATGAAAATATTCAGAGTACATGTTGTTTGCAACGTTAAGTTCATAATTCTGAATTTGTTTTTCAAAAATTAAGACGTTAAGTTCAGAATTCTGAACTTAACTGTTGGAATTCAAGGGTTAAATTCCGAACTCTGACCTCTTAACTTTGGAAAGTTAAGGGTTAAATCAGAATTCTGAACGTAAGTTTAGAAATTCAAGATTTAAGTTCATAATATTGAACTTAACTATAGGATCTTAAAAGTGAACTGCTTGGTTCTGATGGAGCAGCAAAGGTTTCACAGAAAAGGTTGGCCACTAAAGCTCATCAAAAAATGGAGCAGCAATGGTTTGACAGAAAACTGTGGCCATTGAAGCTCACCCCATTTTTGGGGTTGCGCAGAAAACTATGGCTACCAGCGTTCACCAAAAATATCTGGAGCTGCGTGACGTGGGGCCCTTATGGTTTTGTTGGCAGTTGTAGTGGCTGAGAAAGAAAATGGTATACAATCTGTGAATGGAAGCCCTAAAATGACTCAATGCCACCAAGGCAACGCAAGCTTTTGGATGAAGTGCTCAATGGTGACTCAGAAAATGAAAGCGGCTCAAAATGGAACACCTCGGTGTAGTGCCAAAACTTGGCTAACAGTGTAAGCAGTTGATGAAGAAGTGCCATCGTGGCTGGAACATGGTATGCGAATGCGTTGGCAACATTTTCCATGGCAGTATGGAAGAACCATCAAAGGCCCTTTGGACTGCCACTCATAGCCTTCATGGCCTTGTCCTTCATGGTTTTCCTGGTTCTGGGATTGGCGTTGGAGATGATTTTGCATCTTGGGGGGTCGGGCTTTTGTGCTTCCTTGGCTTCGAACCTGGGAGTTTGGGCAAATTCGTCGAAGATTTGGCAAAAATCCTCATACATCTTGGATTCCCTCCTGTGCTTTTGTTTGCCAACCTAAAGAAGGATCTGGTGCACATTCTTCCAACGCACTTATAGCTGTGGAGCTGTTCCTCTCCAGCGGTCTTGGCTAAGTCTGGCAAGCACCTTGGAGGTGCTGTTCTGCTCTGATGACCTTGGGCAAGGTATTGGCAGTCTTCAGCTTGTCCATGTCGGCTTTGGAAAAAATCCTTTGTATGTTGTACTGGTGTCTGTTTGCCTTCAACATGGTGCGCCACGTGATGCACCCTTCTCAATGGAAAAAAATTTGCCATTGACGTTGAAGTTGGTGTAGCGCATTGCTTCCAAAACAGATGGTGAATTTCCTGCCATAAATGGTGGTTGCAATTTCCAGTGACTAGCTCATGGTTTTGATTGCCCAAATCAGCCAAATAGGCCACATCCATGGCGGATAGTGCAAACGAACGAATTGCATTTGTGAAGCCTTTGTTTGCGCCCTGGCCACTGAATTTGTGTAGGACATCCGAAATGGGCCCACGTGAAAATATTTTCACACAATGATTGAGGTCAAAGCTTCAGGCTGGCAAGTGTTGGCAGCTTGGACTTTCTCCTTGGTTTCCTGAAGTGGCGCATTGAGGGTGAACAGGTGGGCCAGCAGGGTGAGTTCTTTGCGGTAGCATGGGCCATGCCCTTTCCACCAAATGGCTCAAAACGAGCCATGGCCATCTTTTCTGGATGAGGTGGAGCCGCTCATGTCGTTTGATATTGGTCATTTGCCGTCGTCTATCTCCAGCTCACTGATTACTTTCATTGATGATTTGTTTTCGCACCAGCGCCCCCGAACTTGGGTCGGGAGATGTTCCATCTTCGGAAACCTCATCAACTATGCCAAGGCGCCGCTACATGGCATTCCTTCCTCGATCGCGCTGTCGTTCCCTTTTCCCTCTATCGTGGCACCTGTCGAGCCAGGGCTGCGCGTCAATCCTCTTCTTTGGCATCTGGGTCTATACCGCGCGCAGGTCGTAGAGTCCTTTTGGAGCTATCACCTTTGACGGCGTCGTACAAGAACAGTGCTGCTCCGGGGAATGCGTTCTTGACGTAGACACTTCCTTCACACATTCCTCAGACGTAGTCCACTGCTACGTTGTTTAGGCAAGTGACACTCTTGACTCGTTCCGCATTTCACCTTCTTTGCCCGTTCGCGAGCGAGACCTCTGTATTTGCTTGATCGCAACAACCTTGAAGTTTCGCGATCTCTTGGAGCCTCCTTCTCATTCCCCTCCTTGTTTGCTCAAGCAATCTCACAATATTCTTGCCGCCGCGCGTACATGTTTGCGATGTTGTCTTCAAGCTCCGTCGTTTTTTGTCTTCCAGGCTGCCAGGGATTTGTCGCGCGCGCTCTTTTTTCTAAGTGCGCGCGCTCGCGCGTGCGCGCTTGCTAGTGTGTGCTCTCACGTGTGGACGGTGGACGCTCTCACGCGCGTGCTCCCAAATGTATGCTCGCAGGTGCTCGGATACTGGGCTACTGGCGTGTGCTCTCACATGTGTATGCTCTCAGGTTTGCGGTCAGATATGTGTGCTCTCATGTGGACGCTCTCATATATGTGCACTCGAACGCGTCCTTCGTTTGGTGTGTGCCCGCATAATATCTGCGATGTCATATGTCATGTGTGTGCTGGCATGTGTCCTATATGATGCTTTATATTCAAATCTGGGTTCACGCGTGTGTTCCTTGATGTGTGCCTCTCATGTGTGCGCTTTCATGCCGTTGTGACT